CTGTAGTGCGGGCGAAGCAAACATCGTCCGGAGTCTTAGCGAAGATGGCTCTACAGTGTCATGAAGGAGCTGCAAAACTTGACCAACAACTTTGCCACATGTGACACAAACTCAGTGCTTCTAGGCACGATGTCCACTCTGCGGAGATTCGGCATCTTGTAGCTTTTTTCCCGCCTGGTTGCTGAGGTACAGCACGTCGCTAGGGCTGTCATCTGCCCAAAACTCCTGGAGCATCAACACCATGCACAGTGACAAGGGCCGCCGAAGTGCCGCCAACCGAAAATGTTCGACAACAGTGCCTTTGCACTGGGTGGCTGGAATCACTGGAACAAGCCCCGGCGCCAACAAACAACAGTAATCATGGAAGTGGCAAGAATGCTGCACAAAGCGCAAGAAGAAGTGTACATGTCAATCACAAATCTCTGAACTCCAGTCGGCAAGTCGATTCGTCCCTCCTTCAGCAGCGGAATTCGCGGCTGGTGGAACTTGCCGACGGTCTTCACGGCAATCACGACGTCTTTCGGCGAAAGGCCTTCACTTCACCATCGGTCTTCCAGTGATCGCCTATGGCTCCCCTTTTACATGTCATTCAGGTCGCTTAACGGGAGAAGGGAACAAGGGTAGTGCTGGGGGAACTAGCATCTGGATGGAATCCAGAGAGCAATGGACAACTGAAGTCAGAAAAAGCCACAACAGAACGTCCTGCAAAAAGCCACTAGGGTTCTGCAGTGTATGTAGGTCAGCAAGCGTCTATGTATGCACAAAGCGATACACAACTGGGTGATTAATCTATAGACGCATAAATGTATGTCTGGACGAATGCAGATCAGGATGTGTGCGCGCCGCTTGCTCTATGAGTCTGCAGAAGTATCCGAGCTCCCCGCCCATTGATGGGCGATAGCTATCCAAGTCTCGTGCCTGTGAGCAAGCTGCAGGCAGAAGAACATCTTCCGGAAAACAGCTGACAACAGGAGCAGTTGCGGTCGGGATGCCTTTGACCTAGAGGTTGCAGCAAGTGCTCGATCTGGGGAGCGCACCCATGTAGCACAGCCAGCGGCTTTGCGCAAGCAGAAAGCATCCTTCCGGTCCTTGAACATACACATCGACATGTACGTCTTAGGAGTATCTTTGCAGCTGAAGCTGATCCCGCAACGTTTGTTTCTGGGCTAAGTCTGCGGCGGTGATGTGCACCGCCAGTTTGCTCAGGCGGTTCTGCACGGTCGAATGTGCAGACGCGACGTAGAAAGCCGAAGTGTCTCCAGTAGCAGTAGCAATTTGTGGTGCTCCACGGCATTACCAGATGCAGCTCAAGTTATGAGAATTCCGCAGACCGGGTCTAGTCAGTCCGGGGCTTCGAACCCCTACTTCTCAATGCAATCCAAGTGAGGTCTCATGCACGAAGCATGTATGAAGCAAGGGGGCGCACCGCCAACTCCCAAATGGGTTCAATTTGTTGGCCACCTCCGATTGGCTTCTCCTGGCAGGAAGCAGTACCGATGGACCGATGGCCCATGGCTCTCGCCGGTGCTCAGGCCTGTAAGCTTAGGGCTTGGCGGGTCCCTGCCATCCCCATGCGAGGGTTAGGGCAATGCCTCAAGAATCTGTGCAAGCCTCGAGGTCTTTCACAAGCTTCCTGAGGAGTGCTTCACCTGAAGAGACTCGTGTCAGGGGATAATCCTTCCATGCGTGCAATCGGCATGGGCCGTGGCTCAGGGCGAAAGCGGAGTGGCCCAACGGATAGGCCTCTGCAAGCAAAGCAAGGCTCGGCTTCGTATTCTTAGAGAACCCAATGCCCCTTAATTGAGCAATATACCGTAAATTATAGGGGCCTTAATATGATGGTTTAAGGTATACTCCTTAATTGAGCTGTATTGGGTTCTCTGGGTTGGCAGCACTCAGCACTTGTCCGCTGAGCATGGCACCGGTTCCTGCTGGTAGTGGTGGACGATGGACACTGAGCAGGGCAGGGCGAATCTTGTGGCAATCCCAGCTGCTGCCGACGTTATGTAAAGCCACACTGTTGCGATCGTATGTACGTGCATATATATATATATATGTATACATACATATACATACACACACACACACATATAAACGCAATCTGCTTGTGCATACTTAACGTAAAGCCTACCAGCTGCTTCAGCATTGACATCGCATCGTGGGCAGCTCTGAGAACATGACTTTGCTCGTCCGTGAGCCCATGGCCCAAGTACCATGGTTCCTGTCGAAGACTGCCGAAGGCAGGAACAGGCGCATCGTTGCCATCATAATTTGTGCCAAAGTTGTTGTTGCTATCAGTATCCGCAGCGACGAGACGTCATTCCACCATCCTAAACCCCTTTAAACCCCTAAACCGCCACCTGTGACGACACCAGCATTTTCGCAAACTACTGCTGCTCCCACCAAGGGCAGATCTGACGGCATCTGTCTGTGCATTCCACCAACCGCACGCCTTTGTGTTCGGCTCCTGCCCTTCTGACACTCCTAAATGCAGAGGCCATAATAACTATAATAAGGGCCATAATACTTATAAGGAGCCCCCAAAGAAGTCTTGATAATTATTCAGGCCCCTGTATTACTTCAGGCTGGTGTTGACTTGTAGGCTCTCGGCAAAGTGCCTTTGCATCGTAGCTTGCCAGAATCGCTTCCAGCCTGCCCGGATCGACCTCAGCTTGGAGACGCAGGTGGCAGGGATCCAGAAAGGGTCTACATGGACATCTGCTCCCGCGTCGCTCTTCGAAGCACAAAGCCAGACCTCTGGATGGGTGCTGCCTGCAGCTGAGGGACCATCGTCGCCGGCTCAGCAAACACAGTCCAGCGCTGACCTTCACCGTGAGCAGCTAATCGTGCAGATGTACAGGACTGAATGCTCAACAGCAAACCCAAGCCGAATCTCTTGGGATAGCTCCCACTTTAAGGCAACTTCGAGCACCAGGCGCCTTTATCAAGTTGAAAGGACACTCATGGCTCTCAATGGTTTTTCGCTTGTGCCCGAACGAAACCCAGCCCAGTGAGATGTAGCTGGGTGTCGCGCTTCCACCGGCTTGCCTTTTTCCTTCCAGCGGGGGTGATCGTTGCAGTTCTCCCGTTAAGCTTAGCTCGAAAAGCATGGATGCACGTCTGACTCCGCAGGCTTCATTCTACCCGGCTTGTCTGTAATATGTTCTGTGACACGATCTGCCATCCGTTTTAACCAGCAACGCTAACTCTCGATACTCTAGAAGCATATGCTGCGAACCGCAAACTGTCCACCTCACTTATCTGGTACAAGCTGTGCGGTCCACAGTCCACAGGATCATAGGTTAGAACAGGCTTGCGGCCGAGGGTCCTCGTCCACTCCCTTTCCGCTTCTGCTCCGACTGCCAGATCCAGGGCCTCCGGATCCAGGGTTCTTTCCCTGATTCCTTCTTTCGGGTTGGGGTCTGTCGGGTTTGGGTTTAGGCTGTAGGGTTTTAGGTGGTTTCGGCGAGACTGCGGCTTCCTCGATTCGTAGCTGCAGCTTGGGCTCCCCGCAGGAAACTCCAGAGGCCCTGATGTCTGAACTCCTTCTCGGCCTCTGCCATGCTGACCTCAAGAAAACTGTATGCTCTCCGGGTTCTCAGCTGCTTTTCCTGAACCCATGCAGAGGCCATGGAGCCTGATGTAGGTCCTACGTCATCCTCATCTTTCGCAATGTGTGTCTGCGTGTGTCTTTCATCGATGTAAATAAATAAATATACATATATATATATGTATATGTATATGTATATGTATATGTATATGTATATGTACACACACACATATATATATATATGTATATACACACATACACATAAGTACATACGTATGTATCCATATGCACGTTTGTAACTCCGTTTACAAGACTTCGTCGTTCTTGCCCCGAAGCTTCACTATGCCGGCCCTCGACAGGCTGCTCTGGCTCTTGAAGAAGGCTCCGAAAATAATATCCCAGACACCAAATCACGACTACTGTTGCAGAAACTACTACGATTTCTACTACTATTACTACTTGCACTACCACTGCGAATTTTTTGGGTTTTTCAGACTCTTCTTGTCTAGGATTCAGGGACCCCAGTTGCAGAAACTCAACGATCAGAAGGCGCAAAGATGCGCACATCCCGAACTATCGGAACCCAGGGTGTAGGGCAGTGGAGGGCTTTGGGTATGAAAGCACAGGCCCAAGAAGAGATCCAAAGCCTCCAAGGCCCAAAAGGCCCGCAGCTCAAGACCCTCAGAAGACTCAAAGAACCCGAAGCTCAAACAGAAAACCCTTGGCAAGGTGCCCAAGCTCCGGGATTCCAGCGACGGAGCTGTGGGGCCAACCCGCCTCAACTACCTCGGGCTCAAGAAGCTCTGGGCCGGTGTCTCCAAATACGATCCGAAACAAACGGAACTACTGCAGCCAAAACATGCTGAAAGCGCCTATACGAAGCCGCCCAGAAATCGCAGTTTCCCCCCCCGGGTCGAAGTCGACTCTGGGGACCATGCTGCTGCCGTCAGCTCCTCTACGGCTCTCTTCTGATGTGGAAGATCCTGGCTTCGCACCTCAGTATATGCTACAAATACGATAATATAACTGTAGCAGACTATGACGGTAATATGTATGGTAAAAAAGACTATCCTGTGGGAGGTACTCTTGGAGTTCCCTCGCACCGCAACATAGGAAGATGTTGCCCATGGCTGCTCGGGTGTGTCGAGTTGATGGGTTAGTGACTTCTTGGAGTATGAAGCATTGAAGCCGTGAATCTGCGTTCACATCGAAGTGTGCAGAGACCGCACCAGCGAACAAGAAAGCCATTACGGATGACGACATCGCTTGACTTTCAGACCAAATTCCTCTCTGCTCACAGGATTCCCAATCTCTCTAGAATGGGCGGAACTCTTTTGACTTCGATTGCCTTCAAATTGCCACCTCAAACATGGTTATGCCGAGTCCTCTCGGAACAGCAGGCGGCACCTGCGAGACTTGGACAAGACATGCACGTGCAAAGCCCCTGGATTCAGTCCTTCTTGGAAGCAAACTGAAAGCGCCGCTGCCCTGCATCACGCTTTGGCAGAGGCTCGGGGATGTTGAGGGCCACAACGATGACGGCAGAATTATCGGCCGTCGTTACATTTGCTGCTGCTTCCAAGACGGCTTTAGCAGCAGCTTCAGGGGACCGTGTCTCCCGCAGGACTTTTCGGGCTGTGATGATGGCTGTCTGGTCGCGCAGACCATCCCAAATACCATCAGTAGCAAGAAGCAAGAACTCCGTAGTGTCTTTGACATTTACGAAAAAGACTTCCGGCGTGCAGATAATGCCCGGAACTTTCTTCCCAGTCTCGCCAACAATATCTCCAAAAGCCCGAGAAATTTGAACTTTTCCATCCACGTATCCGCCCTCGACGCTGACCCCGAGCTCTTTCAAACGTTGCTTTTCCAGCTTGTTCTTCTCCGGGGAATGGTCTGCGGTCGTTGTCGTCACTTTGCCATCTTCACATAGAACTGCTCGACAGTCCCCCACGTTCAGAATAACTAGCTCTTCCGCCTTAAGGAGAGCGACGCATGCCACCGTGCCGGACGATGTGCCGGATGGAAGCACTTTGGCTTCATCTACAAGCTGCATCTTCATCATGTCATCCACTGCCATGAATGCCCTCTTGGCAGCTTCCTCCTTGCCAGATGCTTTCTCGTCTGTTAGGTGATCTTCAAGCTGAGTTGGCAGATTCCCTTTCGCAAGTACAGTTGCCATTTCGCCTCCATGCCCGTCGAAGACTGCGAAGCAGGCATGGCCTGCGACGTTGTCACAGATGGATACGGCGTCCTCCATGCGAAATCGATCGTTCTTCGAGAGAGCATACCCATGTTGCGAGTTGCCTCCTGAGGCGTAGTGGGGGAGCAAGGAAGTGTCTCTTTCCCTCCCAAGACATGGAAATGGCAAGATGTTGCCCATGGCTGCTCGGCTATGTCGTCTTGACAGGTTATTGGAGTATTCGAACCTGTAAAGCTGCGCTCACAACTGGTCGCAGAACCGGCGGAGAGCCCTCTTACAGCAAGGCACAGTCTTTCGCCTCTTAGGGTGCCGACGTGCAGACTGATCTCCAGTGGCACCCTGCTGGCAACCGGCAGCGGAAGCAGCAGCCTGACATCTTAAGTCGAAAAGAAAAGCTGGCCGCAAAAATAGGCGTGGCGTGGTCACACTGAGGCAGCCAGGGAGCAGCAATGAAACAGCCTTCCGATGGCCGCCGCCATGGGCAACCTGAGCGTCGGCATATCATGAACGGGGCTATTCTGGACAACTTACTGGTCAGCCACAATAACGACCATCGCAACCATCATGTTCACCACAAGCAATATCAGCTTCAGTATCTCTATTATCATCATCACCATCGTGGCAATCGGTCGCTTGCTGAATGAACTTCCGGAGGCTTCGCCAAGCTTTAGATTTACATGGGTGACCCTGAACTCGGCGACTTCTTGGTACAACTCAGCGACATGTTCTTGTTGCACCCGAGTCCAATGTGCTCTCCTGGTTACAGATCATAGATTGACTACATGGAACATCTTCCTGATATGCGCTCCTCAATCACAAGTCCCGAGATCTAAAAACAGTGGCAGGTTGACGAATGCTTGTGCGCCACTTAGCAGTGGCACAGGAATCCTCTTCCTCAAGCACATGATCACCCTTTTCTTTGCAGCCTGCACCGCGGATTCTATTTGCTGGATCAATCGTCCCGACTGCTGCAGCCGCTGGAGCTCTTCACATCCACCTTGGGTAGTTGGGATCTCAGGATCTCGGGCTTCTACGGGCAGCTGCTTCTGCCCTCAAAACCCTAGGGTCCTATGCCCTAAGCCTCCAACCCTAAAATCCGGTCGGCAGCTAAAGCAAAGCTACCAGAACCCTAAGAGTGTAGGGCCGTAGTCGACATGCGCAGTTGGGCTCGCAGACTCCAAGGCAACGTCTTCGGGCTTGGGGTTTGGTGTTGAGTGGTTGTTTCCAAGGCTTCTTTCCCCAAGGCCTTAGGGTTGAGGGATCTTGCTTTGGGCTTGAGTTTGGCGCCGGAATCAGATTTCGAAGCCTGTACGTAAGCGTTTAAGTGAGTCCTGAACCGAAAAACAAATGCAAAATCTTACTCATGAAATTTCCATCCTCAAACGGGGTCGTTTACCCAAAGATGATTGCCTGAAGGAAGCCAAAGGCACCAAGGAAGGTGCCACCGACGAAGATCTGCGGGACCTTGGACGCTTGTCAGCTCTCCCAGCAGCTACGGCTGCTGACGCTGCTACTACTACTGCTGCCACCACCATCGCCACCACCGCCACTGCTGCCACTGCCACTACCGCCCGCGGGTACTCTGGTACTGCAGCGGCTGTTAAGGCTCTTGCCCTAGGCAGGTGACTGCTTGCTTCCCAGGTGCCGTGTCCATGCCGGTCATCTTGCTCAGCTCATGCAAGACCTCGAAGGGGGGGTAAGATTTGTGAAGCTGCTAAGGTAGGGCTCCAGGGTTTAGGTTCTGAAGGTGCGGTGATGCTTTGTCATGTATTCCAGAGAGACTTGCTTCGTCGAAATGTGTCTAGGCAGTTCATGGCGGTCACGGAGTCGGGACAGTCTTCTCAACGAAGCACAATCACATGCCCAGGGCTACCACATCCGCGCCACCTCCAGATCATCTGCTCAACACTATAGGGAATCGCACATGTTACTTCTCGTGGCCGCAAGGCAGCAGCCTCATCATCATGTGTGTAGTTCTCCAAAGTAGGGTCCCTTTTTTTTTGCGGTCCCCCAAATGGTACGGCACCCTCATAAATAGGACCCTCAAAGGGGCCCTAATTGAGAGAACTACCCATGTTGCAGTTGCTGTCATGCAGGGGAAGCCCTCAGGCTGAGTGCTGGGCAACGAAGCCAAAGCCTGCAGGAAAGCAATCTGATGCTTCTGATTCTGATGTGTAGCTTGACGACTGCTATCACGTGTCGATGCCATCTTGATCGCTTCATATCGCTCCTGCCGGCAGATTTGGCTGCCAGCCCTAAACCCTAATCGCTAGATATCTCAAACTCTTCTGTCTCGCAGGCCTTCCTTGGTGGTGGACATTCGGCCGCTGCCCTTGTCCTCCCATGCGTCCTCCTGGAAGAAAGAGGAGCCAGAAACCCAGTACGAGACTCATGCAGTCATCTGGGCAGGCTCCTTGAGGAAACAGGACTTGCACATGTTGTGTGGGTAGTTCTTTAAAGCCGGGTCCATTTTTAGGTCCCCAACAAAGTACGGCACCCTTATCATAAGGAGCCGAAAAGGGACCCTAATTTAGAAAACTACCCATGTGCAGCAAGCCACTTTTCCGCGTGCGCACGCGCAGCTGTTCTTCTTTGGCGCGCTCGCCGGGCTGAAGCAGTGAAGTCTCCGCCAAATGTCATTGACATGTGGCCGCGAAGCTCTCGTAGATGACTGCCGCGTCCCCTTAAAATGTGCCACCGCTGGCTAAAGGAAGGGGAGTCAAGCAAAGAAACCTTTAAAACTTGAAGTCCTTCTAAACAGTTGCGTTCACGACTGCCTGTGCATCTACAGCTTGAAAGGCTGGTGCAGCCATGCAAAAGGTTGGTTTGGAATCAGTTCTGGCTGATTCCACGGTGGTGCCGGAGGCGACATCTGTACCGAGATTCCTGAGCTGATGAAGGTGGGCCATCCGAAGTATGCGTACTTGTTGCTACGTGCGAGTTTCGCAAGAACTAAGATTGCATCAGCAGCTCTGGCACGAAACACCTGCCTGCGGAAGTTGTGGAATCGATTTGGGCAGTTTTCTAACTTCGGGTCCCTTCTAGCGTCCTTTCTTTTCCGGGTGTTCTAATTTAGAGAACTACTCATCTGGTGGGGCTGTCAACCGAGAAGAGGGCAGGCTCTCGAAGTCGAGGGGTCACGAGCTCGCTTAAATCTCTACATGGGTAGTTCTCGAAAGAGTCCCCTTTTTAGGAACCCAAAAGTTGGCGGTACCCTTATATAAATAAGACCCTGAAGTTTAAACTTCGAAAAAGGGGGTCTTAATGTAGATAACTTAGATAACTACCCAAATACCTCTATGTACTACACGTTGTGTGATGGTTCGGACTTGCAGAGATATTTGGTCCCAGCGGCGCCGCGACAAGCTCCATGATGCACCCGCCTCCGACGGCAGGGCCACCTGTCGAAGGCTTGGGCTTCGGATCGGGGTGGAATCATCATCCCTAAACTATATTATAGTATATTATAGTATATTATATTCTATTCTATGATATTGTATTATATTATATTATATTATATTATATTATATTATATTATATTATATTATCTTACCTAAACCCTAAACCCTGAACCTTCGTGTCACTACTGGTCGCAGTCGCTTGGAACTCGTGGCTGCGATCTTCCCTGAGAAGCGGCCTGCAGAAGCTGGGCATAGCCAGGGGCGATGCAATCCACAGTTGCACCTTGGTGTCACAGAACCTTGTAGCAGTCGCACAACTTTGAACCCCACAAACCTCAAGATATCTCGAGGCAAGGCACACAGACCTCGAGAGAACTGGAGACTGCTGCTTTCGCAGGTCAGCTCCACATGCATGTAGCCGCGTGAGCGGTTTTCCGCCAAAACGACGAGGCCTTCCTTCGGTGCATTTTCGAGTTTAGGGTCTTAGGATTTAGTAGGGCATGCCTGCATATCGATGGGAAGTGCTACATCCGTGATCCCATGGTTCGGCATCAGAACAAGATGCCTAATGAATACTTGATGCAGCTGCCATGCTACCCGAGCTTCGGAGATCCGGATGTACAGATCAGCGCCGTTCAAAGAGCTCTTATCCGCTGGCTTTCCACTCTTGGCCTCGCAAGTAGCACAGGAGCAACCTCAAGCTACGATTCTCGCGATACCCCAGATGCTCTACCAGCTGCTGCTGGAGAAACCACACTGCGAGTGCTGCCGGGGGCGGGGGGGGGGGGGCATCAGGAAGGTTCAGTGTCGCCGAATCAAATTTCCAGCCGAGTTGCGTATGCCGCCCATGCAAACATCACGGCTTGGCGGTCCAACGAGCGCTCTTCTACCACCACCGGCAGGCTGCTCATCACCGCCACTGCAGCACTTAGGGAAGAACCAGAATTCAAGCACATGGGAACCTTAGCTTTGTGGCATCTGGCTATTTTGCAACCTCCGGAGCGATCTCACCATCCCGACCACTGGATGAAGTGGGCCTCTTGCTCTTGTGAGTTCGAGGCCTTTGCTGCCCCGGGGCTAGGAGGTATTCGTCCTCAGGCCGCAGCCAGCAGTCCTCGGCAAAGACTGACCACAGTGGCAGCAGCAATAGAGGGAACTGAAGTATTCACCAAGCGTCTGTGCCCACGACGCCCCGGTTCTTGAGACCGCTGGCAGCAACAAGGGAAGGGGGATGAGTCTTCCTCGGTATAGAGCACATGCATTCGGTTCAGATGTTGTGCCGCTACCCTTACATTCAAAGCTACGTGCATGGCTGCTTGTTTTGCAACTTCGCAAATCTTGCACGCGGGTTTCGGCTTATAGCGAACAATGTAGCTGTAATGAACGTGGCGGTCTGACTATTCAGTTCGGGGTCGCTCAGACAATCATCTTGCTACCACATTCCTCTCTTCATTGAGCAATTTCTACAGCATCCCCCTAAACCCTAAGCCCTAAACCCTAAACCCACGGAAAAATCACGGAAAAAAAGGAGCTTTCCAAGGAGAGCGAAGCATCATGTTGAGGATCACGAGGCCCATACCTCACGATGCGTTGACTCATGGATGCCCACTCACTGCACTTGAGCTGGCGTCCAAGAGATCTCACCCTAAGCCCTAAACCCCTAAACCCCTAAACCCTAAACCCTAAAGCTCTAAACCCCAAAGCTCTAAACCCTAAAGCCCTAAAGCCTAAAGCCCTAAACCCTAAAGCCCTAAACCCTAAAGCCCGAAACCCCTGAAGCCCTAAAGCCGAGGCACTCGCAAGCTGCTCGAAGAGATGGTTGTAGAAATATCCGCCTCGAGCTCGCTCCTGGGCTTTCCAAGCTCGCTTTTTGGGGCCTTGAGAATTATGGAATAGGGTTTAGGGTTTAGGGTTCAGGGATATTTGGGGCCTTAAGAATATATAATAGGGTTTAGGGTTTAGGGTTCAGGGATATTTGGGGCCTTAAGAATTAGAATAGTATCATGGGGTTATTTCATAGCTTGTAACAGCTAAAGGGGGGGGTACGGGATAAGGTAAGGGTCTCCCTTGAGTCGAGTCGTGAGATCTTGGGGCTTGGGGCTTCTCTTCTCCGTCCTCCGGCTGCGCCAGGCTCACAAGGCATTGCGCAGTGGCACCACAGGCCTCCAAAGCGAGCCCCGAGCGTGGCACCTGAGCCAAGCTCAGGGAGTACCGGGCTCAGGAGGAAGAGCCCGGGAGTTTTCAGTATAACCGTACACCGCAGTATGCCAGCCTCCAGTCCAGTCGAAATCCGACGTCAGTTGAAACGACGTTTTCTTGGGGGTCCAAATTGTTCATGACAGTATATCCATTTTGTGTACAGTACCCACATTAGCCAGTGGGGAGCCTCCTGTGATGGCAGCGGCACCGCCACGCGCGCTTCGCACCACTCCGTGCCATGGATCTGGCAGATGGTGCACCTCAGGGTTCAAATTGCAGAGGGAATGCTTCGGGGCAAGTCTTCAATTTTTAGGGGTCTAAGCTCAGATGAGGCACTGGTCGAAGTAGATGATGAAATCGGGCATCGCCATGAAGAACATGCCAGCATCATCATCGGCCTGTGTGAGGTCGGACTTTCCACGATCCCCTTAGGCAGCAGCCCGGCATGTTTAGGCTGCCCCGTCAGCTTATACCAGCACCCCGCGGAAGCACAATGTTTCACAAAAGTGGTGGAAAACAAAGGCCTTGGATGCCCCGATGCATGGGTAAGGCCTCTGTGAAACCGCACCCACAAAGCCCAAGAGGAATCAGAATGCGAACCCTCCGGCTAACGAACTAATCGTTCGCCGACATGTCGTTCCTCCGACGCCGTAAAATCTCATGCGGCCCATATCTTCAGATTTAACTTGATTCAAAAAAAGTGGATATTGAGGGGCTATGCAAACAAGTTGGCCTGCCTGCCATCGTTTAGCAACAATACGCCCAACACATGTTCGTGTTTCATAGCTCAGAATGGCAATACTGCCAGGCAAGCTGATCGTCGCAGTTGGACGCATCACGCTCTCTACTTATCGCTCTTCTCTCTCTCTGCTTCCATTTCTCCCTCCGTCGCTTCGCTCCACCGCTTACATATGCCCTAAAAACCCTAAAAAAAGGCCCTAAAGCCACAAAGCCCTAAGCCCTCTAAAGCCTAAAGCCTTAAACCCTGATCCCTAAACCCTAAATCCTATAAACCCCTAAACCCCTATAAACCCCTATAAACCCCTATAAGCCCCTATAAACCCCTATAAACCCCCTATAAACCCCCTATAAACCCCTAAACCCCGCCCTGATCCCCCCAAAAATGACGAGGCGCTAAAGCCCTAAACCCTAACCCCTAAAAACCCTTAAAGCCCCTTTAGAGCCCTAAAGCCCTAAGCCCTACACCCCATGACGAGGCGCTGGGTACCGGAGTTTCGAGCGAAGTTCCGGTGTCCAGTTGCCGCTCCGCTGGGACCAGGCCTAGGCCCGGGATTCTTTTTGGGGCCTTGGGGGCTTTGGGGCTTTCGTCTTTTTCTTGTTTTAGAGGTTTAGGGGTTTTAGGGGTTTGAGGGGTTTAGTTTTTTTTGCTTTTTAAAGGGGCTTTGGCGGTTTAGGGGTTTAGGGCTTTAGGGTCTAAGGTTTAGGGACGTTTATGGTTGAAGAAGGGGCGTTGGGGCTTGGAGGCGTGGAGCCTTTGAGCTTCCAAGATTGTTGTTGGCACCTTGGGGTCATGGACAACTGGTCACAAGCCAGTCCAAACCGCAAGAGCGAGTACGTCTACGTGGAACTGTCAACTTTCGATATATGTTTCTGTGAGGATTCTTCTGCTTGGTGCAGTCGTTTTGATGCTTCTCTGCTCTACTTCACAAACCTCCAGGACATTTGTCTCTGGGATTAGAAGATAATCATCGTTCTCTTATACAATCATCTCTGACACACATGCAAAAGCAGCTGCTTAAGGCAACAAATCCCCCAATCGCAATCGTGAGGCCCCCTTCCATGCGCAGCGCGCGTGCGGGTTGCGAATTTGGAGCAGTCGCACCTGGCAGCCAGAGGAGCTGGCGCCTTGGGAGGGCCCTCAGGTCACTTTAAGGATTTATAGGGCTTTCTGAAACCGTGCTTAAACTTAAACCCTCCTCTCTCTGGCACATAAACTGAGGGTCCCTTGTGACCCACGCCTTGTGAGCGTTGCTGTCGGCTGTCGGTAGTAGCTGGCTTGCACCACAGGCTCGGGGCTTGAGCTATGTGGTCTGTGGTCTACGCTTCCGGCGTACGCTATGATTAAGAACGAATCACTACGCACCTGGATGCGATGGCTAAGGGTAGATCTCCAACCCCTGCATCCTCAAGCTGCAAAATCTCGTAGCTGCTCGGCATCCATGCCCTTAACTCCGGACCACCGAAACATCCTCAAGAAACCTACTCCGCTTCCCCCAAAATCGAAAGCGCTCCAAAATCACATCCAAAGGCTGCAGGTGGCCCTCTGAGCCCCGCAGAAGCATCCCTAAAGCCCTAAACCCAAAAGCCCTAAACCCTAAATCCTGTGAATCCTCAGGCGATCACTTCAAAAGCCCCGAGCTTCGGGGCGCCTGACCCTCCGCGGTGGTGACCTCGTGGACTGCCATAAGGGAGTAGGCGTGGTTCGGCGCCAGGCCAACCTCAGACCTCAACAACCGCATAATATAGTAGATTGCATTCTTACATTATTATACTATATCATATTACATTATGCTTTATTTTATTCATAGTATAGTATAGCATAGCATAGCATAGTATTCGTCGCATGGGGTGTTTCCGAAAATGAAGTGTCGCTGCTGGGGCTCAGGGGTCGTGATCTACTGCGGTCCAAGGAATGTATCAACCTAGTGTTTTGATGCAAACAGTCCCTCATCTTCAGAGACTCCCAGGTGCAGGGTTCATGATCAAAAGAACACAACAGTGGCAGCCAAAACAAGGCCAATGACTCAAGATGGTAGTGCCTACCCTGTTGAAGCTGAAGATAAGGGTACTGACAGTGATGGCACTTAAAGCTGATTGCACCGGCAGTCACACTAGTGGCTTTGATCACACCCAGGACAACAACTGCATCAGCAAGACCAGCACCAGCGCAACTCAATACTGAGTACCGACAATTCAGTGGTGACAGTAAGTAAGAGCACTGGAATGCCGTCGTGAGCTTCACCGAGGTGGGAGGGTTGTTGTTGCTGGTTTAAAAACGAGTTCTGGCCTGTTCAGAGCAGTAGGAAAGCAATCATCCAACGTGCTGGTCGTTGTCCCTTTCAACCGTGATTACGGATGTTCAGATGTTTGTTGGCGTCCACCCATGCTTCCGCAGATTCACCCGTCCCGTTGCTTCCCCAACTCCACAGGCTCATCCAGCCATGGGTGCAAGAGCGCACCCACACTTTCGGACATGCATTACTCGTTGACTCCCCTTACCCGAATTTCTCCACCTTTCCCTCTCGCGCCTGAGCTCCTCCCCGCGGCCAGTGGAGCACGTCCTAGGCGCAGTATGCGATTTGGGACTGGGCCCTTGGGCCGAAAGGCGGAGCTCCCTGGTAGATGAAGGCTCAGGGCTGGCGATCCAAGGAAAGGTTGCAAGGGATGCAGACGCACTGTCCGAGATTTAGCTCCATGGCTTCTGAGCCTCACCCAAGTCCGAAAGCTTCGAGCTTAGGGTTCAGTTCTAGAGGAGTGTAATCGGAGAAGCATGCCTCGAAGTTTGAAAGGATCCCGTAACTGTTGCATCCGCTGCGAGGAGAGAGTAATCCCCCCTGGGATCCTGGCCTTGTCCCCAGCCCCAGAGCGCAGATTCGGGTTTCAAATTTCCGAAATGCTCGAACTTTATTGAGTCTGGAGTCAGAAGGAAGCCGGCACTGTAGGACGAACAGAGCGAAGCCCACATCAAGTCAGCATCGAAGTCCTTTCGCCCAAACCTCGTCTCAGATTCTGGAGCGTCCAGGTATCTGTTCCATGCAGGCTTCTTTCCGCCACACTTCACGCTCAGAGCTCTCTACAGTATTTCTCACGGTGACGCTAAATGGCAAGGTCTGATGCCCGCTGTCCGACAGACATGGTAGAAGACGCTAAAATGCCACAAGATGAGGCCACAACCCTGAACAGTAAACCGGTAAACCCCAAAACGATCGAAAGCCTCTCGGCTTCTTTAGCCAAGACGAGAGACGAGATAACCATGCAGGGCCATCCCGTGAGCACCGCCAAAGCTTCGCTGGGCTGACCTCCCCAAGAATGTACAGAATGCACTGGTCTGGTGGCTAGTGCAATCCTGCAGTCCTACGACGATGCCAAGATCTCCGACAGCTACGCGTTCGTGCTCCTTCTGCTGGCCCACCTCCCACCAAGGCTTCGTAGGATCCGCAAGCTTTGGCAAAAGCCTGGCCGCAGGGATTCTTGCGCGACAGCAAGATATGGGGGTTTCCGGAAATAGGGGACCCTAATATAGCACCCTAAAGAGTAGGATCCGTATTAGAAGGACCTCAAAATAAGGTACCCCTTGTTTTCGGAGAAACTCCCACATAACAAACTACGGTGCTAAAGAGCCGCTGGCAGCTCAAAAGGGGCCTTCTCAATGATGCTGGCCCAGAGCTGCAGCCGCAGCGTGGAGCAGTAGGCGAGCTGCTGATGATACCGGCCTCCACATAGGGTTTTAGGGTTTAGGGGTTTGGGGTTGAGGGTTTAGGCCTCCACCCAAGCTAGGGAGCCGGTCATCCACGATGACCTCCCGCCAGAAGCCACCCAAGCAAAGCCGGACCATGTAAATGCCCGCGGGGCTGAGCCTCAGAGGGAGGGAAACGAGCAAAAAATGTTTACATCTCCTATGCGCGGGTTGGATGCCTTGGATGCCCATCCACCCTCATGCCTCGCTTCACCCGAAACCCGCATTCCCAATTCATCGGTCTAAGGCTCCGAAACCAGTTTCAACCCATTTCGTGAAACTCCAACCTATAAAATCATATGGGGAACTCTCTAAATTAGGGCCCCGTTTTCGATCCCCAATAAAGTACGGCACCCTTACAAACTGGCTCCTGAAAGGGACCCTAAATTAGAGAACTACCCTAAACCCTAAACCCTAACTTAGAAAACTACCCATGAGGGCCAAAGGGGATTCCCATCCACTCCCTAAGACAAGGCGCGAACTCTGCTCCGGGAGGAGGGCCCGCAGAAAGCGGCCATCCTGGTTCTTCGGGGCTCTTGTGCTTGGGGTTTGCAGGAGTTTATCACAAGTTATTGTCATGAGTCATTCGACTATATCGCACTAAATTGCGTTGTATTGTATCACAAATATACTCTCGCTCTCTATATATATAGAGATGTATATACTTATGTATACATAATATATTATTATCTTATGCTATACTATACAGGTGTTTTTGGTTTAGGATTCCATGTCATGTGCTGCTTGCTCGTGGGTGAGATACCATCGGCAGCGGGACGAACCGACCAGGGTTTGGAGGGGAAAACGAAGGATTCGGGAGTTTAGGGAGCTGATCGTTGAAGTGCCCAAGAAGCGCCCCTAACTCCCGAAAACCTCACTGTAGCCCCTGAGAATCTTGATCCCTCCAATCTGCGGCTTGCACCCTGGCTCTCTTCTGGCTCTCTTCATGTCTCACATGTCGAAGTCCTGGTACTCAGCCAAAGCTGCCAGCGAGGAGAGGAACCAGCAGTCCTGGGGTTGCTTCGGACGCAAAGGCTAGGCGGCTAGGCCCTACCCATAGGCCCCTAAGTATTTTCTTTTTGGGAACACCATATAGGATTCTAAATATAAACCATAAAAAGGAACTACTTAGGGGCCTATGGGTAGGCTACGCATGGCTACGCGTGAACGCAAGGCTCAGCTAAGGGGCGCCGAGCTCTCCCTGCCGCACATCCTCTGCACGGGGGCGGCCTCGTAGAAGCTGCCAGTCCTCCAAAAAAGGGTTTAGGGTCTGCCCTTTTGTTTCTTTCGGGGCTGGAGGACTTTGAGGAGCACTTGAGGGATCTTGGGGGTTTGTGCGGTGCCTGCTAGCATCATGCTTTGCTCTATTCACAGGGCCTGTCACTGAAACGCGCAGTATCGTTGCCCAATCTATCTGTGTCAAGTCTGCCGAGTCAAGTGCTAGACTTCCCCCCCAGTCCTCATTGGTCGCAAGGGGTCGACCATCGTGGTGCGTAAGTTCCTGCCAGAGTCTCGTGATGGAAGTTAACAATAGAAGGCTAACGGATTCCTGAAGTTGATATCTTTTGGAAAGCATCAGAAACTAAACTAAACGAAAGCCCATCTTTCTTCGGGGGTCAGCTCGCCCTAAGCGAAGCTGGGTCCTGCTTGCACTACAGGCGCTGATTACGCAAGCGGGACCTAAGCCCAAACAGTCATGAAAAGCCAGCCCAGTGTAGGTTCCAAACCTGCGCTGTATCATATTACTTTTATATGCTATACTATACTATACTTTGGTATACTTTGGTATACTGTAGTATACTATAGTATACTATAGTATACTATATATGATAATTCTGTTCTGGTGGATTCGGACTCGATTCTTCTGCGAAACCTTGCCTGGGGCCGTCTCCAGGCGGACACCCGGCCACCCACAACGGGTGGGAAGTCTGGGTCCTGGCTCACGGGTGGTTTTCTATTTTAGGGTCCCTTTTGGGGTTTAGGGCTTAGGGTTTAGCTAAGTTAGGGTCCCTTTTAGGGTCCCTTTTTGTAAGGGGGTGCCGTACTATGTTGGGGATCTCGAAAAAGGGGACCCCCAATTTGGAGAACTACCCTCATGGCTCCGCTGAAAATGCAGCGGTCAGCGCATCATGCGACAGACATCTTTGCAACAATAAGCCTCACTAGATCAGTCCATGATTATGTCAATTTTTCTGTTTCCCTGTTCCATTTGCTTACCTATACTTCTGCCTCTTGGTTTTCTTGCCGTTCCATCTGTTTGAAACGCCGCTGCATTCCTGAGTCCTACATGGTTCCCATACAGGGGGGTCTCCTCGAACTTCCGGCCGTCCAGCTTGCAGCAGAGCTCAAGGGAACGCAGCTCTGCCATGGTCTTGCTGGAGGGCGCTTGTCCGCTGGTCGTGCGCCGGAGGCTCGGACGACGACCCAGCGATGCCTCCTGCAGAAGAGTAGGGCAGCACTAGCAGCAGCAGCAGTAGCAGCAGCACTAGCAGTAGGACAAGGTGAGCAGTAAGAAGAGTAGTCGTCGTCCGCGTGCGCAACTACCATCATGGTCATACTGTCATACTATTTTGTTAAGTAAGTCAGTAAGTCAGTAAGTCTCTGCTCAGGGCACAGGCACAGCAGTTTTCCTCTTGATCTGACCCAGGAGGCAGGGATTGTCCGGCTGGAGGAGCCAGACGAATGTCCCGATGTGTGCCAGTTTGCAGATTGGTCCTCAGCAGCTTCGTCTCATGGTCACAAGCCTAAGGCCTCCAGCCAACAAATTGCCTTGTCTAAACGAACCTGCAAAACAAGACAACCTAGCCGAACATTCCCTCAGTTTCTCTGAGCGACATGCCTACATGTACATGCAGCAGGTGGAAATAGGTGGAGTAATACCAAAATTCAGCTGGGGAGCTGCTTGCGAGTGTCCAGAGCAATTTCGTACTCCGTTCCAGCCCACCGATAACCTTTGCTCAGAGTTTCAGGCCGGGGCCGAGCTCTTGGGTTGGGCTTAAACGGGCTCGGAGGGTCTGAAGAGCCTGGGGCCGAGCTCAAGGAGTGTTGCCTAATGTAGGGGCCTTCATAATTAGAATGGGGTTCTGGGGGTTCCTTATTGTGATTTTAGTAGAAGAAACCCCCAAACCCTATTCTAATTATTAAGGCCCCTATATTACTTCAGAGATCTTGGAGGCCAGGCCTGCAGTGAGGTCTTTGGCCTGGTGTGGAGCTCCAGGAAACGTTCTGTCTTTCGAGCCTAGATTCTCGAACTCAGGGACATGGCGCTCTGAAATGGAGTGCTGCGACTTTGACCTCAGAAGTTTGGGGCCCTCGCAGGAAACTGCGTCTTTCCCGAGCCGCAGCCGAGAGGCGGCAGGAGGTGCGGCCCAGGAGAACAGCCTCCTGGATGGCTTCTCGAGCCTCCGGAACCATTCCAAACATGGTTTCGGGCGAACTTGATCCAATGGCCGAAAGAACCAGATTTCTCGGTCATGCTTGTCAGGGCTTTACAGTCCCGGTTCCTAGTGCTTGTGAAGAAGTTGTGCTGATATCTGCGAGGGCGGGGGATCTCTCTCAGGGATTGGCGCGAGAGCGTTGGGTGCAATGCCGGGGTCGCGCCCCTCATCAACACCCCAAAAACCTCCCCCACCCACAGCAGGCATCGAGTGCTGAGAAAGGAACACCACCCGCCTCCGAGCCCATGTCGATCCAGGTGTTTGAAGCGCCAAAGACTTGCCAGCTTCTGCCGAGGATCCTCGGCTCTTGAAAGCAGCTTGGGCCACGAAAGCTGCAGCGTCCTATTTCGATTCCTCATGTTATCCTACATCAAAGAGCACTACCGCATCTGCCAGATGGGGTGCATCAAATCTGCGAAACCCACCATCCAAGGTGGATGCATCGGTTGTCAAAGTGAGGCAGTCGTGAGAATGCTGATGAGGACTCTGAGGATGCTAACTTTGCTGTGAAGTACTGGTATCAGCGGTAGTGATAGTATGTGGCACTCGAAGTTGCAGTGGTGATGGTCGTGGAAGTAGTGCAAGCATCAGTGATGGTAGAAATGGCCGCTACGCTGTCAAAATGGCAACAATAACAGCAGCGCTGGCAGAAGTAGCCGTAGTAGCCGGACAAAAGAGCAGTCGCTGTTGATAGCCAGGCTGCTCGTCGATCTCTAGGCGGAGCTTGCTGGCATCGCTGGTACTCGTCCGGCGCTTCGGACGCTCAAGTGAACTCGCAGCAGCCTGCTCTGCCTGCACTGGAGACCCCATCTCTGCAACCGAAACAGCGTCGACATAGCACTTCTGGTCCTTGCCAGAAAACCGAAAAAATATTCCGCTCCGACTCTTTTGGCATCTCTCGGCATCCTGCTGGGTGCCAGGAAGGCTGTCAACTCCCATTTGCTTCAAACGTTTTTCTGTTCATCCTTTGTTCCCGCCTGGATGGCCTGCAGAATGGCTTCCTGTACACGTGGGTTTACCAGCAGCTCCTCGGCTCCCAAGGGAGGCCCGGGACCCAGACGCTGCTTCGGCCGGGAGGAGGG